AAATCTCAAACCACAGGAAATGCTGTAAAAGCTGTCTGAGTAATGTGATTTACACAATGAGAACCACATTGGACATAAAAATCTAGTGGCTGTTCTTTTATAAGAAAAGCCTCTGCACCAGAGTTTTGGCCTGACATACTTGCAGCACCATTGTATGTTTACCCTCATATACCAGAAAGTGGTAGATTGAGGTTCAGTAAAACATCAGTGGCAACCTTGGATATTGAAAGAATATTGTTGTCGAAGAAATTTCACAGAGATCCATAAATTTTACATGTGGCATCAGATTCTGATCCACATAGCAGGGGCAGATTGACCTTTTGTTCAGTACCAGATCTATCTTGTGTTACATCAATGATCACAGCAATGATTGCAGCAGTGTCATAGAACTGACTTGCTTTGCAATATATTTCACAACGGAGTTGCCCATTAAACTCAGGATTTCATATCCAATTTTAGAACAGGTATAATCCTGATTATATGTCAACCAAATACAGAGTTTGCGATCATCCTCTGACCTCAGTTTTTTCAACAGTTGGATTACATTCCCTTTCTTTTCCTCATGACCTTGCCGTGCCAAAAACTGAATTGTGCTTACAATCAGAAAAAAAAAATAATCCAAAGTTTTCGATAGTTGGTAATCTTGTTGGAAGCTAGCTGACAAAAATTGACCTTAAAAGTTTATCTAATTATCTGTTCTAATTATACTTAGCAAATTACACGTACATCACCACTGCTATTTCAACAATGCTTAGGTAAGTAGAACAATGTAAATAGTCTTTGGTTGACACGTCAGCAAAAGAGCATTTACCTTCAAAAATATTTAGATTAATATAAACCAAAAATAGGCAAACAGAAAATCTGAAATTGTAAGTTTAGCGCCATCTGTCGAGGAGTAACAAAACCTGAAAATATCCTTGGCAAAACACTATTTGAAGATTATTTTTTAAAAAGCTACAAAACTTAAAATCTACTATAGCGCTTCAGTACTGTGATGCGAGTTAAGAATATTTAGACATCAAATTCTGCATAGTTTTCAAAAAAATACAGGGCAGATATTTTTTTAAATTAAGAAAAATGTCTAAATCAACAATTATATTTCACCTTTGACGTTTTAATAGGCTGCGCTAATATTCAAATTCTCATAAAACCTTGAAGTTTAGTTGATATTATAACTGCGCTGATTATGTATTCTGTATGTAAATTGTAAAAATCATCAACGTAGGTAAGTATTTGTTTCGAATCAACTGAAGCTCTATCAAACATTAAAAGTACAAACAAATATTTAAATACGCCTCTCATTCAAGCTCGTACTTCTTTTCAATCGCTACGTAAACTTTAAGTAATATTAATAGAATCAAAATATTAAATAGTTCTCCCACATCAGGGGGTCTCTTTTCGAAACAAGATGCATTTGTCCGTATTTTTTTGGTGTAGGTTAGGTTAGGTCTTTTCTATTTTGATAAAATCATTATAGCGTATGACCGTTATAATTTGAACCTGTACATAAACAATTATTTATTTTTTATTGATCTTTCGCATGTTTTTATTATTGGAGAATATCTTTCACTGGAACTTCTAGCTGCATTTTAATATTTGTTTTTGAATTTCGCGCAAAGCTACACCAGGGCTATCTGCGCTAGTCGTTCCTAATTTAGCAGTGTAAGACTAGAGGGAAGGCAGCTAGTTATCAACACCCACCTTCAACTCTTGGGCTACTATTTTACCAATGAATAGTAAGATTAACCGTCTCATTATAACGCCCCACGGCTGAAAGGGCAAGCATGTTTGGTAGAATGGAGATTCGAACCAGCTACCCGCAGATTGCGAGTCGAGCTCCCTAACCACCTGCCCATGCCGGGCCTTTAATATTCTACGAAATGTGTGAACTGTTTTAAAATGATCATTTCGGAAACATTAAAAGCTAAAGAATTCTACACAGTAACTTTTTCTTTTGCTTGTTTTTCTTTTAATGCAAAGCTACATAATGGACTATCTGCACACTCTCTACAAAGGGGATTTGAATTCTATATTTTAGCGTTGTATGTCCAAAACCTCCCGCTGACTCATCGGGACACTAGAGAGTAGCTATCGCGTCATTGGAAAATAATTTTGTCCCTTATTTCAGGGCATGTTAAAAGTATAACTTGATTCGTTTTGTTTGTTTTGTTTTGAATTTCGCGCAAAGCTACACGACGGCTATCTG